TATTGTCGTCAGCCTGATATGGGGGCGCGGATAGGCAAAGCAAGGGCTGCATTTCTACGACTGAAAACATCTAGAATGACTATCAACAAAAACTAAAGTCATAATTTTCAATACAAATGTTAAGACAGTTCTACTGTATGAGGTGGAAACTTGAAAAACTACCAAAACCATCATCCAGAAGATGCGAGTGTTCAATAACAGTTGTCTACTTAACATACTTCAGATTAATTGGTCAGACAACATCAGCAACAATTTCCTGCGGGGGAGGGGAAACAAACCAAATTGCAGCCGATGAAATTAGGGAAAATAGCTTTGGACACATACTGCGGAAATCATCCAACTGAGTCATGAAGTAAATCCTCACTTGGAATCGTGAAGGCGAAAGAAAAAGTAGAAGACCAACGAACATATTACGCTGAGAGTTAAAAACAGACATGAAAAAAGTAGCAGTTGGGTCAAACTGGAAAGGAAAGCCCAGGAGAGAGTTGGTTGGAGAATACAGGTTGGCGGCCTAGGCTCCATTGGGGTTAAGTAAAGTAACTCGATCAGTTGTCTGGGTTCGTTTTTAGAGTAAGTCCCCCGATAAGATGCATATAAATTCACCTCTCAAGTAACTGCAACTGACAAGTTAAATATACTGGTTTCACTGACCAATTATTCTATAATTTTATGTGAAAGGTATTCTTATTTTGCCATAGTGCTATTGTTGCGGAAATAGTTTTCAAAAGACGCGCTCATGGTGCAGATAAAAGCAGTTAGTCTTAAATAAAGAAATTTTCTCTAAAATTATTGTCATTATATTGTTGTTTTTTATGAGATTTCGATTGGAGATTGAAGATCTCTGACCGTTGGAATCAGCACCAGCGCGCTTCAGTTGTATCTCTGATTAGGTAGGTCTCGTGGTAGGCATGTTCCAGTGTTTTCATGTCTACCCTTGATTTCCAATTGAAATTTACGACAGTTTACTTGCAGGTATTATAATGGCAGTTGGAGGTCAGAAAAAAGTCACTAAAGGAAGCAAGAAAGGAGGAAAGAAGAAAACGTACGACTGAATTTGTACTGAGCATTTACTTTGCAGGGCCGATCCGTTTTCTAAGAAGGAGTGGTATGACATCAAGGCTCCAGCTATGTTTCCTAAGCGGACTTGTGCAAGAACACTGGTGACACGAACTCAAGGTACACGTATAGCCAGTGAGGCACTCAAGGGTCGTGTGGTCACGCTTAGTCTAGGCGATCTGAGTGAGAAAAATGAAGAAGTTTTCCGCAAGTTTAAACTTCAGGTTGAAGATGTTCAGGGACGTCATTGCCTAACAAATTTCCACGGACTGGAACTCACTCGAGACAAGTTGTGCTCAGTTGTTGTTAAATGGCGTTCAACTATCGAAGCTCATGTTGATGTGAAAACAACAGATGGATACCTACTTCGTTTCTTTATAATCACATTCACTCCAAGTGTACCTCGTTCGGAGAGGCTCCATTCTTATGCCCAAAGCACGCGTATTAGACGGATACGTGCGCGTCTTGTCGAAATAATTCAACAAGAAGTTTCAACATGTGACTTAAAAGAGGTCGTCAATAAGCTGTAGGTTTAAAATATTGTAATATACTTTTTTTTAGTATCCCAGACTCCATCGCACAGGATGCTCGAAAAGCTGCTTCATGGATCTATCCACTCAGTGAAACTTTCATCCGTAAGGTTAAGGTGCTGAAAAAGCCGAAAGCTGATCGTAAGTTCGATCACATTCTAGTTTATTTTTTAGTTGCCCGGCTGATGGAACTTCACGGTGAATCAAAGTCAACTGCCCCTGGTGAATCTGTTTCTCGCCCAGATCACTATGAACCTCCGAAAGTTGATTCAGTGTAATTCAATATAAAATCCACTTGGATCTTAGTCTTTTCCTTTGTTCTCGACTGGATAGATGTTAGTGTGATCATTCTTATGCTTGTTTGTCTAATTTACTGTTCCTACTTGACTAAGTACTGTATTCGATCCTCACGTCTAGTAGTTGGTTGTCCAACAGCTAAGTACTATTAGTTTCGCAACTACAAATTAGTCTGCTTCCGCTTTGAAAATGGAAAGTATGTTCTAGGAAACATCATTAGGTAGTGTTCAACTTTTTTTTGGTAAGATTTGACGAATAGTCATCAAGCAATTCTTGAAATATTGGCGATCTCACTTTCCCTTATTGCTGTATATTTTACATTTCGTTAGCTCTGCTCCTTGATATATTCGTAACTTAGTGTGCCGTGTACGTCAATAGGCTTCATTAAGCGTTCATTGATATATTATACTTTCCAGTCAGTTAAAATTAGACAAGTACGACATGAACTTGAGTTTTTGCGATTTCTGTTTTATTTATTGTTTAAGTTGCATTGTAATTATACAATAATCCTGAAAGTGTCTAGTGTTCACACATCCAAATCTTTCATAGTCCAGTACTAATCTTCCTATGGATGGAACAGGTTTCTAAGTTAATATAAGTTGGATTGTGTATTAAGATGGCGTAGTTTCCTCCTTCGATTTATGTATTTCATTTTACAAGTCGACGTAAACGCGTGTTACTTAGCTGTTGGTTATCCTGATCAACAATGGCTTCACATTTTCTGTAACATTACCTAATGGGTTTTATCTGAGTCAACGAACAAAGATGGTTACATTTGCTGACTTACCTCGCGTAGTCAACTACAGGGACAGGTTAATCGTTTTTGTATGCATAATATGGAGCTGCTTAGAGGTAGTATGCTGTGTTACTGCTACTAGTTGTTACGGAGCAGCTCCAAGTTGTAGGAGCACTCCTTATCTTTTCCTCTAAGGATTCCAAAAGCTAGTCATATCGAAGTGTGACTTTTCGCAGCACGGTTGATCTCAATAAGTCAGATCTCTGATTCCTTTGCACCGACTCAAGTAATCGTACTGATCCTTTCGCAATAGCAGTGGTGATCTACACTTCTAACGATCATGTACGGAAATATCACGAATACTTTTTAAATATAACAGACTACTTTAACTCATTATGACGAGTGCAAAAATATTAGAAGTGGTAACAGTATCAGTGAAATAAGGCATAGAGAATTCGCAGTATTGATCAACGTGGTTTAATAACTAAACATCTGGGAGGGAACAGAAAATGCAGTAGCTGCACAGCAACTAATCCAGGGACATATTTTCCTACAAATTTCCTTCATTTCTAGAGGTTATGATTCGCAACCACAAACTAAAACCAACTGCTGTTCAGAATATTTGTTATTTTACTGCTCGACAAGCATCCCCTACGTCACAGGTAACTTAATCTGGTAGGGTCAAGTAAACTCGAATTCATGATGGGATTTCACCAGAGTAGTGCTCCACTGATAAATTCAAGTGTCTGTACTACCAACTTGGGAACTAAATAGTCCTAACAGTATCTGATTTAGTAGGCTACTCAGTTGATAATATGTACTACGAAAAGCAAGTCCACTAGTCGGGAACGGTTTATGTATCGGTGATTGTTTAAGTTCTAGTGTTAGCAGAATGTACCTTGTCCGGGTAGCTGGATGACATGATCCAATCCGACAGGGAGCATCAGTCCACTCGAAAACACAGGTAAACCTTGCTGACGAGTGACCAACGGCACGAAACATGGGTCCAGGTTTTCCTGTCGACTACCTCCAACGACCACCTCACATCCGGAAGTAGACGACCCGACACCGAGTTATCTAGATTAGCGGCCATATTGCAACCTGATCGATCGAATCCGACTAACACTATGAAGGACTTGACACTAACCAGTAATTGGTCAGTCGTAAATATTGATGCCTATCCATAAAGTTTGGTGGTTCATCTGAGTCGTGTAAGCATTGTGGATATAGTTTATGAAGACAAATCAACAGTAGTAGCTGAATTGCATGTATGTTTTCCCTTCGTTGAAGTGGCAAGAATCTTACCATTCTATCTCTGTTCACTAGTTTCGGTTTTTTCTTTCGAAGTTGTTGTTATTCGTCTTTGACATCGATAAGTCACTGTGGGCTGTGTTGATAAACTAATATGCGAAATATAATATGTTATTTGGAGCAAAATTGTAGAAGACAGTAGCTGAGTAATTTGTGTTCCTTGGGAAGTTGTCTTTATCATTAGGAATGAATGAAAGATGTTATTGGTGGGTGACCATTAATACAAACTCAATTTCTTAAGGAATAGTGCATATAACTGCTACCTTGACTGTGTGACCAGGTTTGCTTATCGTGATGACCCAAACGAGCTATGTTGGCTGGGAAAAATGTTTCTGAAGGTCAGCCGGGCTGGTCGTTTGAAGAACGGTAAGATTAAACGTGACAACTTGAGGTCTGAGGGCGAAGTCGTACTTCTGAATGCAGACGGATGTGATAGCAGTAAGGTGTTTCCCTCAGACGACCAGCACCTGCAGCGATGCTGCCTTCTCACAAGGGAGGAGGGAGTAACAAAAGGTTGACCCTAAAAGTGTTACGTACCACTTTACCCACGAATTTCCGTATCCGATGGTAAGGAGAGCGGAGTTGACACTTCAAGAATTTCCCATACGGCAAACGGTTGTCCCTTGAGCTCCACTACAGAGTATTCTGACTACCCTAAGCAACAATGCAAGCATGTTCGGGTTGTGGTTCTCCTCGCCGAAATAATAAACGTTTCTTCAAGTTTGGATTGCTTCGGCACCTGAACTAATGATAGGGAGTGAAGTAATTGAGCTTGTCAACCGCTTCACTCATTTCAGGAGTCTCATCAGTGCTGATTGTATGGTGTCTGATGAAATCTCAACGCGGATACAGAAGGCTCGATTGGCTTTTGCCAACTTGCGTCACCTATGGCGTAGGCAAGATATGCGTCTGCTAACCAAAGGACGAGTGTACTGCGCAGCAGTTCGCTCCATCCTAATTTAGGGGAGTGAAACATGACCACTAAGAATAGCGGATATTCGCAGGTTACTAGTATTCGATCATATGTGTCTTCGAAGCATTGCTCGTACATCCCGGGACAACAGAGTAAACAATACTGGGATTAGGAAACGAATATTAAGTAAGGATGGCAGATCAGTTAGATGAAGTATTGCAACTTCATCAGACGAGGTGGTTGGGAGATGTGTTACGTATGCCCAACCACCGACTGCCTCGACGAGCGATGTTTTGTGGTGTAGGAGTAGGTTGGAAGAATGCTAGGGGCGGTCAAACTAAAACATGGCACAAATCCATGAAGTTACTGACAACTAGGTTGAGTCATGTTTTTAAGTGTAGACCGACTGGTTCGGGTCCGCGAGACAATAGTAATCGGTGGGTAGAGACTTTGAATGACATGGCTCAAAATCGTTTGCAATGGCGCTGGCGTGTCCATAGTTGACTGTCTCTCCTGATATCAATTTTTAATAATTTTACTGTCAGTTATCTCCCTAGCTTAATGTGATTAAATATAAAAGTAAAATAAATAGTTTGAATCAGTAGATAGTTTCTGATCTCTCTAGCTTTCATAAAGTTTTTGGGAAATATGACTTCTATTAAAATCAAGAAGAGAGTTTCTAAATGCTTCCTCACTTCGACTTCAAAACGTACACAAAATTTGCAAGTAAATAACCTGTCTACTTGTAAGTAGTTAACTATTTTTTACACAATTCTTAAAATTGCATGGAAATGTTTGTATTATTTAAGGCATTGAGTACTGTATACAGATTATGTTATTCGTGCTTATTTGCTCAATGATGATGATATCATTTGTGCCTCATAACCCTGATTAGAGTTATACTGGTTGTTTACAAATGTGTTTCAACGATGGTGGCTGTTCTTCAGGTGTTGCAACTCATTCTTTATTTAAAATTAAATTTATACATAGTTAACTCTTGAATAGAGCGAGGCAGACACAGGTGGCTGTTCTTACATAGTGTGAGATGAATTTTTATTCAGTACTAAGATTACATTACTATCATTTTAGATTTACTAACTAACTAATTATTAGTTTATCATTTAGTGAAATAAATTTTTATAATTTTGTTCATCTACGAGTATTATCCATGTCTTAAGTGATATGTGGCTTGAATGAACACGAAATTTCACTAAATTTCAGAAAGATATCAAAGATTGTAAATAAATAACAAACTATGATACAGTCTTGATAACTTGTAAAAAATTTAATGAGAAAATGATTACAAATGATGATGCAATATTTGCATTGTAAATATTACATTCATTATTTTTGGGGACTTTTTTTTGAATGCTTGTAATGTAGAATCGATTTCATGAATTTCATCCAGTTTCTTTTTCAATGACAAATAAATTATGACATGTTTCGAAATAGTTGACATGTCATTTAAAAATCTTGATATACAGTATATCTTGGATTTTAATAAGGTAGAAATGTATTGAATTCTATACAAAAGAAGTAATATTCCACCATTGTATAAGTACGCTGATCATTGGTTTGGAATATTAATATGCATAAAATTTCGCTAAACTTTTCACGAATATAACCATAGTAATGTTTTTCTAATGTAGTTTGTATGATAGATAGTAATCGTATACTATAAATTTTCTATCTCTAATTCTTGTATCAACAAATATTTTTGTATTGATTGTATTCGTTCATAGATTTTTATTTAAGTCATGAAACTTCAGGAAGTTGATTTTTTACTCGTCACAATTTCAGAAATATGCTATTTATATTATTAATATTCTATTCAACTATTCAACGCAACCAAAACATCCAGCTCAGAGAACGAAACACCAACCACGAGGATCATTCATCTGAGCTACAAGTTCTCTCCACCATCTCAAAAATCTATTCAACGTTCAATTTATTTGAAATTATCAAGTTGAACCTTGATAATGATGCTTTTAACTTTTGAGTCGTGGGACACTATTTGGGGA